GGAGAAGAGACGAAACGTTTCATTAGAGAAGAACCCCTCCAGAAGAGCTATACAATTATTTTTTATTTTTTACCTGGATTACTGAGATGCATCAGAAAATCCTTCAATATATTTTCTTACCGATCTGCGTTACCAACAACACTGGAATGGACCGGGAAATGATGTGTGGTCACCTGAAGTGTGGTTGTTGTTGTTAGCCAAATAAACATCCAGACATCTGCAAAAAACAATTACATATATAATTTGTCAGGGTTGTCTTTTGATCACACATTTAACTTTGTAATATACTCCTAACATGTCACACTGTTTTCATCTTTTATAGAAAGATGACATTCAGACAGAAGGTGAAAAAACATTACTCAGTTTAGTTCCAAAAAGCCATCATCTTTCCTGTTTGTTTTTTTGTTTGTTTGTTTGTTTGTTTGTTTGTTTGTTTGTTGTTTTTTTGGGGGGGGGGAGGTATCATTGTAGACTTGTAGTTGAGTAGATTTGATCCTGAGTATCAACACCTTTTACCCAAGTACTAGAGTTGAGTACTTTGTCCACCACTGGAAGCAGTACAGACCCAAATTGAGGCATAAAAAAAGTAAATTTTGCATATGTCCCCTTTAATGGCAATAACCGCAATTAAAAGCAACAACAAAAAGATATATGCTTTAATGGAAATAATTATACCATATTTTAATTAAGTTGTTTCAGGTATTTTCCACAGTTTCTGTATTATTTTTGTTCTTATCTACAAACTATCGAAACAAAAGCTTTTATTTTGAAAATTATATGACGTCACAACCGCCACCTCCAGTTTTTCTTTTAGCACCATCATAATATTAGCTTGCCGAGTAGCAGCGACCTAGCTGCCTATCTGAATGGTGTAAACCCTGGAGATATTAATGAGTCGCAGAAGAAACCGAAGTCTGGCTGAAACGGGACCGTCTCCGGACCTCCACAAAATTCTCATGGAGTCCCCCGGTTCGGTGGGTCGAGCAGACGCTGATTTCCTGGAGCTAGAAGCCGAAGAGGAGCTCTTCTGCTCGGTCAGTGACATCACCGAGCACCTAGGCAGAAACATCACGTTGGTTCTGGAGACAGCCTTGTCTGAAATCCGGAAAATGGTCAGCATCCGTGTCCGAGTCCTGAAACTGGAACTACGTGAGAAAACCGAAGAGATTGAAAAGTTAAAAGCACGGTTAGACAAAGTTCAGAGGGACGAGCGAGACCCTTTCCCCAGCTTAGAACCATCAGAGCAGGGCTTCAGAAAACACGATTTCACTTCCGGATCCAAAACCAGTACCGAGCCTAGGAGAACAAAAGCTGTGTATCCAAGTGTGAAAAAGGAAAACATTGATGCTATTTGTGACTATTTAATGAAAGATAAGAACTCCAGAGGTTCTGTTGAGATGGACGGAGAACAGGCCAGTCTGTCCAGTGGTGAAAATCAGGATTCTGAAGAACTGGAACCACATCCTCTCAACCTGTGGTCGGACAGTGGGATGGCAGGCTCCGGGCCTGGAGACGGAACCGCAGATGATCTTTTTAATATGATCCCATCTGGCAGCAAACGGGTTTATGACTACGAATGGATGGCCTGTTCATCCGAGCTGAAAGGTAAATGGACACAACAAAGTAATGAAGACCAGGGGCCTGTTGCACCTTAATTTACCTTTGAATTGGTCACACAGGAGAGGAAGAAAAAAAATGTTTCCTTGGTGTCAAGTGCTCTGAAACTAACCTGGTCCCAACTAGGTTTAAAGTGGATTTTATTAATCTTGATTGATTGATCTTGATCAGATAATGTTTCTGAGCAGTAGGCAGTCACTTCACTGTAAAACTGTTCATCTAACCCAGTGGTTCCCAAACTTTTTATCTTCTGACCCACAAAATATCCATGGTAAAAACTTGTGACCCCAAAACTTTGGGAACCAAAGTGCAGTGGTTCCCAAACTTTCCAGCTTTTGACCCACAAAATAACAGTAGAGACCTGAGCCCCCAACTATGTTCGGATGATAAACATTTGTATCAGGTCAACTAAACATGGGCATAGTAACAATATTTTTATACTACATTTATACATTTTAAATACACTAACCTCACTCCTTTGTAACAACTAAGGCAAAAATGTAATTAATTCAGAAAATCTTTTCAGGACCCCACCTTGATGTTTCAGGACCCCACTTTGGGTCCCGACCCCAACTTTGGGAAACACTGATCTAACCTATCCTTATAATCTTATATCAGCCAAAATGTATTTTTATGCCTCCGCCCAAGGAGGCATACTCCTGAACAGAGCTATAGATTTCAGTCAGAATTGACCTGGTAACTGTTCTTGACCCAAGTGAGGTCTGAAAACATTTTGGGGTCAAAGCTGAAGATGATCTTTGTTGCTTGAATCCCCTTATTTTGGACTGGTACATATTAGGGTTGGGCGTAATCGTTTCGTGTGCGATTAATCATCAGAAAAACATTAATCGATTATTTTTTGGCACTTGACGATTAATACGATTAATGCCACCAGGCAGAGTCCGCTCGGTGCTCCTCTCTGCTTCAAATATGACGAACATTTAAAAAAGTTCTGTACAGTAATTTATTTATCTATCAACACAATTTAAAATTTGATGTATAGCCTGAAGTCTGTAATTTTGACACAATTTGGAACAGATTTTTATGAAGATCAAATCTTTCCCACTAAATTGGCCATGTGACTAGGAGGACATAAGGGTGTCCAGAGACTCCAGGGGATTAATCGTCAAATTAATCGTTATTAGCTAAATACTAGGGATGTAAATCACCAGCTTTATCACGATACAAAATTACATCGATATATTTGGATGATGATTTGATATTTCTCAATATCACAAATCTGTCACCATACAATTTGTATTAAGTTCAATTCATTTGTCTGATCGATATAATGCAATACCATCTGCCTAACACAATGACTGTTAGATGGGCAGATGGTATCGATTCACATCGAGCATATGATGACGATATAGATCAATATTTTCATTTTACCTCGATATAACTGAATCATGAACCATTCAGATCGATATATTGATATAGATCGATGTATCGTTACACCCCTACTAAACACCACAACTAATCGTGATTAATTTTTTTGCCAATATTGCCCAACCCTAGTACATAGAAGTGGTTGGTCACTAAAATTACTGATATGGTAAATTTCAAAGAGGAAGTCATGTTTAGATGTTGTTGATATAGTTATATAATTATTAGCAGGGCYGGTCTGGCCGTGCTGTCTGACTGCAGTGGGTGCATGCAGCTGCAGCCCAGAGGGAAGGTGAACACCTCCTGGGAAAGCTCTCAGCCTTTCCTGGACTATTTTCCAATGAGGATTGCATATTTTTTATATATTCTATTTCTGAAAGCACTAAGCAGCATTTCACACTGTGTGTTCACACGCACAACAAAACTGTGAAAAATCACTTGACTGTGAGCTCAGAGGCAGCTTGACCGCAGCTGCTGCATCTCTCCACCCGTATCGTGGCTCTGACCTACCCGAGACTTCAGAGTCTAAACTCTTTTTATTATTTAAATGTTAATGTGTTTTGAGCATAGGTGTTATCTTACAGACATGTGCAACTGGCACGTGAGCTCCTAATGGTCAAAGAGGCATTTCACAGCATTAATATTAACGCTGTGAAAATATTAAAGGGATCCACTATTAGTTGTAACATAAACTTTATTTGATAAACATATATTTTAACTGTAAAATAAAGACTGTAAAAATACTGTAGGCTGTTTAGTTT